TCAGAGTATATCCTAAAGTTCTAATTTATACGCTTGGGATGAGGAGGCATTCTGTTGTCTCAGAGTATATCTTAAGTTCTGATGGAGGTCGTTTGAGTTGCCTTGAGAAATATCCATCAGAGTGTGCACACGTATCGGATTAGATATCGAAAGAGAAAGAGAAAAGTTTAAGTTTCAGTACCAGAACAGATTTCTGGTTACCGATCAGATATCCGTTTATGATTATCTTTATTTAGTACTCATCCCCATAAGTTTATTTTCAGGTAACAGGTCGAAGAGGAGGTGTGAGTGGAGCAGTGTTGGTGTGGATCGTGGACTCAGAATATGACAAGCTTTTATATGGACATTTATAACAGTTTATATAATTAACCACATTTTTAAGTATTTCCGCTATGCATATTAAGATTTGACTTTGCATTTTAATAAATTTTAGATTTCTAGTTTTTACCATGCAGAAGTATGAATATGGTAAAGTTAAATGCAAGTTATATAAATCTGTTTTTTTTTTGTTTTGTTTTTTTTTTATGTCTAAGGAAGTATTAGACAAAGTTTAAAGATAACTGGATTTTCAAGAAGATGAGTTTAGTAGCATCCCGAGTTAGTTGCAAAAGATTTCGAAAGAGTTATAAGTATTTTGAAGTAAAAGTTGCGGAAAAGTTACTATGATGAGCGGGGTGTTACAGGTGGTATCAGAGCTAGAGTTTTAAATGCTCTGTACACTAAAAGTTTAAGTTTTCGAAAGTAAAGTTTTCAGAAAAGCCAAAGTCTTTACAGAAAGTGTCAAGGAAACCCGACCACACCTCACTCACACCTCGACGACTACCGGGTAAGTGTTGTTAAAAGTTTTATACAAGTTATTAAATATATTAAAATTTACTAAGTCTATGCTCAATAAGAATTCAGATATCTGAACTCTAGAAATCAGTCTATATGTTCAAATTAGTATTAAAGTTTGAAATCTAGTTTATCAAGTTACCTAGATCAAGAAAGAGACTCGAACATTCTAAGTTAAGCCATCAGATTAAGATTTGAGTTAAGATCTGACTATAAAGGTTGATTATGTATTTGAGCCAAGTATAAGAAGTAACGGTACTTCAGTATATAATAGCCAAAAAGTACGGGTAAATCATGGGGGTTTGAAATAAGAACCAAAAGCCGGATAAGATCCTGTAGGCTTGAAACTGAACCGTAGAAATAAAGTTTCAGAAAATAGTCAATCTTTATAAGTCAGAAGTTTTGATATCTTATCAGTTAGATATCATGAGCTAAACAAAGTTCGAGATCAAGTTATCAGTTATTTTGTACTTGTTAGTGACAATACAACTATACAAAGTACTTTTCAGAAACCAATGAATATAAGTTTAAGTATCGACATATAATAGTCACTTAGCCGGGTAAATTATGGAAACCTGAAATAAGGGTTATTAGTCCGAGTTACCTGGAGACTTGAAATCGAACCTTAAAAGATATCAGTTAATAAGTATTCCAGATACTGAGATAATTATTTAAACTTCTCGGAAGAATTTTTGAAGTTAATCTGGACATGTGAAAGTTAAAGATAGTCTGTTTAATAAGCAAAGACTAATAATTTCTTATCTCTTTGGAGAAAGTATTTGCTCCCAAAGATAAATGATGAGTTTAAAGGTCAAGTAAAAAATGGCGAGAAGAAGCAAGAAAAAGATAGATTAACCGGAACTCTAGCACAAGCTAGGTGTTTTCGGCAAATAATTAATTTTTAAGTTTAGCGTAGCTATTTATTAATGGCTATACTGTTTAAGTTAAAGGGTGAGTGGTTTTTAAGAATGCTGCTAAGCAAAGTTTTCAAAACCATCACAGAGCAAAGTTTTAAAAGTATAAAGCTTTTGATTGAATTAAGAAATTTCTCAGTCAAATAGTATCAATATGTGAATGAAGCATATATCAGAAGAAGAAGAAGATTTTTGAGAAATCAATATACTGGAAACATAGAAATTCTAGTATCATTGAAAGCCAAGAGCTAGACAAAGATTCAAGCACACTGTTGAGGATTTCATTATTTCTAAGAGCTAGTACAGAAATAACAGAAAATGGAATTGCAGACAAGTAGAAGAGAATCCTCAATAAATACAAAGTTATATTAAATAAAGGGATGGTGCGTCTCAAGAGCACAAGACTCCATAACTCTGCTACCCATTATGGCTGTAGTTTCACAAAGATAGATCTAAAGGATAAAATGCTGGAGTTTCCACAAAATCTTGAACTGTTAAGATGCTGTTTTGAAGCTTCTTGATAAGTTCAGAGGAAGTGTTAGCAGACTTGAATATTTCTCTTCGGAAAGGAGATATAAAAGTTTGATACACTCCTTCATCTAGAAATCCAAGCAAGTTGTGGAAAAAGTTAATGAAATTCAACAAACCAATAGGTTTGGTATGAAATTTCACTTCTGCCCAAGTAGCAAGGGTAAAAGCAGTCACTAAAGTTCCATATCCACCAGGAAGAACAATGAAAGCATCGCAACCAGATATCATTGCCATCAAACAGTCATAAATTGAGAGAGTTATCATCAAAGTAGCAGAATCTTTGACAATCTTTGATCAAGTGAGATAAAAATGAAGGATACTTCTCACCTCGATATCAAAGCATTTAGCAGCCATTAAGAGGTTGTTAAAGAAATAAATACTAGTTTCTCCATAAAGTATGTTGATCTGGTGTTTTTCTAACTCTTTCATCAGTTGGCTTACAACATAGATGTTATGAGGGAAGAGTACAAACCTAGAACCACCAAGAACGCACACAGTTTTGATTGGTTGAAGAAGTTTGATACCTTGAGAAGACTCGACAATAGCCATTTATTATGAGAGATACTTGGCTATGAAGATAGATTCGCCTTTTAAAGAAGAAAAGTTCCAACAAGAAAGCAGTTGAGTCTTAAATGACTCTTACCTGTCAGAAGCGATAAGATCTATATGCAGTACATCGGTACTATCACTACAAGAAATTTTGCAAAACATGACGAAAAATTTCGTCATGTAAACCTTGTTTTTCGTCACAACAGTATATCGATGACGAATATTTATCGTCACAGCAATCGTCACCGTAGCCGCGTCATATTAGGTATAGGTGACAAATTTCGAATTTGTCACCAAATGTTTCACTTTTAATGACGTTTATAAGTTTCGTCATGTTAGTTGGTCACTTTTCGTGACAATAATTTTGTCACGTTTATTATAAAAATTTTGTCATGTAAATTATTATTTCGTCATAAATAGACAAGTTTTAAATGACGAAAACTTACTTTTGTCATCTAAATATTATTGTTTTGTGACGAATTTTATTTCTTTATCGAATTTATAAAATTTCAATGACGAATGTATTTGTGGCGTTTTCAATAAAATAATCGTCATATTTTATAGAATTTGTCATGAAAGAGTTATTTTAAAATTACAAAATATTGGTCGTCACAAAAGGAAATTTTAAATATGACGATACCAAAAGTGTCACAAAAAAATAGAAGTAGTGACGAAATATCTATCGTCTCGAAAAACATACAAAAGCGACGAATTCTTTTGTCATAAAATTATTATCTCTATGATTACGAAAAAAAGAATTGTCATCAAAAGTTTGAGATATAATGACAACATAAGTTGTCATGAAAAGGTAAATATTTAGTGACAAAATTTATTGTGATTTTAACATTTCATATGGTGACAAATCCAAACAAATACATCACGATTACATGTTGTCAAAAAAGTGTATTTTCAAGGACAATTTAAAATTTGTCACTATTACAAGTATAATAGTTGTCATTTATTGAAGATATTTAGTGATAAATTTATTTGTCATGAAATATATAATACAGTGACAAAATCTATCGTCACTCTAAACAAGTCACTAAAAAGAAAATGCAGTGGCAAAATCTTTATAATTAATATATGAAGGTAATATGTTGTAGATGATAAATTAAAGAATGACAATAATAGTAGTTTTGCTAATTAAAAACTTAAATAAACGAACTATCTAAAAATGTTCCAAATAAAAAATAATAATAATAATAAAAGAAAAGCCAAACAATCTCGGATATTGTTCTCAGTGGCAACCATGATAGCCATAAGTTTGTCGACTTTTGCACCTTGTTGATTTAGTTGGTCTTTCAAATCACTAACTTGGTCTTTAAGCTCAATCACTTCATAGTCTTTGTCACGCAGCTTTTCTTGTGTCTTTAAGCTCAATACCTTTGCCCATGGTTTGTCCACGCCTTTTCTTAATGGTGGTATTGGAAGCTGCATGTTGACCACTCGGTTATTTTAATTAGTCAAAGCTTCATACTCATAAGACTGTATTTTATCAAACAATATGAAGGCAAAGGCACATGTATTTTGACTCAAATGAGCAGACCAGACATGTTTTTGATATTATACAAATCACTGGAGTTTCAAACTAGATTAAATAACACATTTATCAACATTTAGCAAATAACAAAGGTGAAACTGATGAACTCTGCAGATGAAGTTTCCAGACTATAATAAGACAACCCACATTAGAAACAGAGATAAACTTCTAAACCACCAGGTAAATCTCGACCAGGTAACTTCTACATTCTCAGTTCATAACTTCTAAACAGAAACCACCAAGTAAATTCAATGAATTATACAGAACAAACTTTCAGAATATAATTTGACAAACCACATTAGAAACGGAGATACGCCGAAAAGAGAATGTTTTGCTATAAACACTATGCGAATGCCATGATAGAGAAACACACAGAGAATAATTTGTTCACACTGGCAACCTCCAGTATAAGATAGATATATAATTTACTGCCGTCACCAAAACAATTAATATACCAACTTACCTAAAGTATGCATAATAGGATAAAAAAAATCCAGAAGTCGAGAAACACAAGTACTAATATCTCAAACAAGCAACTCTTAGTTGTTTACATGGACAAAACATCAAACACGTAGAAGTATTTATCAAGCATCACATCAACAATTGCCACTGCCACTTAACAGGCAGATATGTTATCCTTCAGAATAAGCACACATTACCCCGAAGCCAAGTAATCTGATTTTCATCAACAAATTATCACATAAGGCAACTACAACATATTTAGCATGTTTTGCAACTGTAAAATCGCAACGGTTTAGTACCAATGATATTTGTCGGAGGTGATTGTGGATGTTGACTTCCCTCATGTGATGGAGGATGAGGAGTGCTTCCATTTTGCTGACTTTGATTTTGCAGAGTCCTTTTTTTTGCTGAGTTTGAAGAGTCCGAACTTTTGGCATAATAGTGCTCTCCTTGTACTGAGTTTGATGAGTTTGAAGAGTCTGAACTTCTGGCATAAAAGTACTCTCCTTTTGCTGAGTTTGAGGAGGCTGAATAGTTGGCATGTTTCCCTCGAACGTCAGATTCACAGTTTTGCTTTTTATAGATGAACCATCAGTTATTGGCAATCCATTGTTCACTTTGTCTGATGCCATATCAGTTTTCTCGGATTGTCGGGTTTTACTCCTTGCTAAACCTCCTGTCTTTGTCATGTGTTCTATGAGACTCTGGCGAGAATTATTTGGTATGATTCTTGCTTTTGAATATCGAACCAATACATGAGCCATTTGAAACAATCTGTATTGAGGCAAAAAAAAATATATATATATATACATGAAAGTCTGAGGCAAAAACAAATCCATCAGAAAGAATGAATAACATAAATCAATTATTCAACCTTACATTGAAGGCACAACCAAACAATCTACTATTGGATACAAACTCTGTAAAACATAATTCTAACTCTTGATAGCCAGTCAAGTTCCAAATCATAGAGGAAGGCTCTATGTCCATGAGGTCTCAATGCTTGACTTAGATCATCAGAGAACAACCTTCTCTTCCCCGGCGTCAATGCCTCCCAACAAGATAAAACTAGAGTATGCAGACCTGGAGTTCCTCTAGAACAGACTGGTGTAAAAGAGAAGGCATGTTATAACTTTGTTGATTGTTAGCCTAATATTGGACTTATATGAGTGAGAAGGAGAGGAGAGATTTTAGCAGAAGATACGATCACATTGAATTCAGTCTTTATCTACCTTAATTAGATAAGAGTACCAAAAATGAAACGAGGTAGTGAGCGCCAAATCAAAAATTTTCTCCGCAAATATTTTAGTGAATAAGATTGGGCAAAGATAACCATATTACCATTAATTAAGCTAAATTTTAGAACAAAAAACCGAAAAATTAATCAAGTTAAATATTACAACAAAAAACCGAAAAAATAGTTAAGCTAAATTTAACAACAAAAACCCGAAAAATAGGGATGATTCATATGAGAATAGAAGGCCCCGAACCTCTGGTGCCGGATCACCGTGGGCGTGGCGAGCCTCAGCACCGACGACATGACCTCCATCGAGATATCGCTGTCATTTGGCCACAACACCTTCTCCGCCACCATACAGACCCGACTGTCTTCCCGCACCACCCCCAATCTCACCCTCATCCGCGTCGTCGACCTCTGTATGGTGCACGGTCGCCGTCTCCGTCCGCGTCCTCGCCTCCGATTTCGAGCAGCAGGTGGAGGATGTCATCGAGGCAGAGGATTCAATTTGGATTACCTCGTGAAATTTGTTCATCAATCGGCAAATTCACACCAATTTGAAGGCTTCAGATAAAAAAGGAGTCGAGATTTCAGATCTAATGACGATTAGCATGCTGATTTTTAGGTTTGTGTTTATTTATTTAGGATGGATTGATGAATATGAACGGGGCAGATGATTGTTTTTGGGTTTGTGAACGGGGGGGTTGGTTTGGGGAGATACAAATTAGGTAATTACTTGGTATAATTTTGGGTTCTTAATGGCACACTAAGTAATTTTAAGTCATTCAAAATTTAATATAACTAGTTTATAATAACTTCAATATATATTCATTATAGATAAATATCTATTTTTATTTATATTAAAAATACTATTAAATATATTCGTTTATTTTAAAAAAATTAGTCAAATTCAAAACCGGTCTGGTTAGCATATTTGACTGATTTTGACGGATTCAACTAGGGCTGTTCATCGGTCGGTCCGGTCAACCAGCCGAACCAAATTAGGAAAATCGAAATAATCGAACCAAACTATGCCAATAACCGAAACTGACTGAATTATCAATTTTAAACCGAACATTAACCGACCGAACTTCTTGGTCGGTTGGTTAAACCGACCAAACTGTACATTTTAAAATATATATATATATATATATATATATATAATATAACATATATATATATGTTATATTATAATATATATTGTAATATAATATATCCATATACAATATATTAAATTATATATATAATATAATATATACATATACATATATTATTTGGTCAATTCGGTTATTTTGGACATTGTTGTCCGAAAACCGACCCCGATCGAAATAACCGAAGCATAATCCGACTAAAACCGAAAACCGACCGAGTCGGATAAAAACCTAACCAAAATTTTTGGTTTGGTCGGTTTTTTCGGTTTTAGTCGAATTATGGTAAGTGTATATATATATATATATATATATATATATATATATCTTTATATTAAAATTTAATCTAAATAAGGATGTTCACTTTCACAACACTTCAATTTCTCTCCATTGACCCTCGTACGGCTATTTTTCCCGAACAAAGCTCGTTCGTGTTCGATGACAACTCGTTCGTTTAGTAATCGATCTGAACTATAACATTAAATTATACTTGTTTAATTATGGAATGAACATGAACAAGTTCGCGAATTAAACGAACATTCACGAATAAAAATCAACTGACACGAAGACGAGCATGTCAACAATTCCAACATGAACTTGTCGAACCTAACAAACGAACCGAATATAAATATTTGTTCGATTTGTTAAACAAACAAACACGAACATGTTATAAAATATTGACGAACTCGAGCTCAAAAACTTTTGGCTCGGTTCAATTCGATTTGACAACAGTCTTAACTATTAATTGAAATTATAGAAAATCTCTAATTCTTAATTGAAACTCCCTCTCAATTGATCCAAGTCCCAAACTCTTCGCATAGTACAAACACTTCAATGTCCCAAACTCTTGCAAATTCGCACAGTACAAACACTTCAATTTCGCACAGTAAAAACACACAAAATTCGCACCTTTACCTTCAAATTCTCCTTTGAATTTGCACTCCCAGTCTCACAAATTCACATTCAAAGAAAGATTGTTTCGAATTCACACTCTCCGACGTCGAGCCGTGACCTATGAGCTTCGACCTCCAGGAGTGACGACGAACCCCGACCGTGGGCCAACAGATTTTCGGCGAGGCGAGCACCCCAGATGCCGAGAGAAGGCCTCTGTTTGCGGCAAAGAGCTGGCCCTGTGCGAAGCCGAGAGTAGGCAGTCTGCGACTGAAACAATTTCCCAAGCACCCAACGCAAAGCTTTTACCAACAACTGAGTAAATTTGAGCACGCCCGGCTGAACCAAGCCTCCGGCAATCCGAAAACGTGAAATTTCTAGTACCGAGATTTGTTCGGGAGCCGGTAGCAGGCTGCAGCAAGTCGAGTGTCTTTCAAGAGCCCTTTAACCAGAAATCGAGCCATCTTCTTTTCCATTTTAAGTCCCGTAACAGGTACCTTCGACTGAGCCGAGTTTATCCCTGTTTTGGCAGAGATTTCGTGACATTTATATGCTTTGGTTTCAGTTTTATATCCCTGTTTTGGCCGAGAAAAGAAGCAAGGATTGTATTGTTTGTGCCTTGTGTGTATAGAACTTGCTGAGCATATTTTATGTTATGTATGCTACGGTTTTGATGTGTAATTTCAGAGATAAATGTTCAATAAAAGTATTGAAAAGGCATGCTTATTTTTATTGTTGTTGAAAAGGAAAATATAGCATAGTAATGGCTTGGTTGTTTTACTACTTTGAGCCTTGTTTCTGATTGCTGAATCAAGCCTCTATTTAAATGGTTTGTGGCTGAGACTAAGTGTTTTTGAATTGTTAAGGACCAGTTTCTAGACTTATTCATATGCCGTTAAGTTTGGATAAGTTTAGAGAAGTGTGAAGCAAGAATTGCATGAGTTTTGTGCTTAGCATGTTTATGAGATTGGAGGCTGCTATTCTTTGTGGTTATGTACTGTTTCGTGAGCTTTTGGAAGTGTTAAGCTCTACCTTGAGTTTTAGTCATGAGCATGTTAAAGTTTTAGAGAAGAAGGAGCATGTATATGTTGTAATTTTTTTTGCCCTGTTACGGTGTGAGTGCCGTATATTTTGAACTAGTTGCTGAGCTTTTGATTGACTTTTTTTTATTTTTCAGAAAATATTGATTGATTCATAGTCCGAAAAGAGCAATCTAAGCTCAATATTAGTATCACAATGTTTCGTTCTGTTGCTCCTAGTGTTATACAAGTTTCCAACTGCACTTCATTGTTATTATTATTTTCTTATAAACTATGTGCCTGTATCATTATTTTATTGGTAGTAGTTTATAATGATATGTAGTTCAACATTAGTTCTGTTTGTATACATTGGTCCTGTGTTGAGCCTTTGTCTACATGGTAATTTTGGTGCTTTCTGTTTGTCTTTTGTTTCACCGTTTTGTTTGGACATTATGCCTATAGTTCAACATTAGTTTTGTTTGTCTTTAGACATTTTGCTTTTTATCTCGTGGAACTCTGTCTTCATGGCAAAGTGTTGTTTTAACTTGCTAGGCATATATCGTATCTACCTCTGGCTCACATATATGAGAGAGTTAACCAGACAATCCTGGTGCATTTTGGAGGAGCATCTGGATTTTATCAATGAGTAAGACACTCAAATTTCCTTACATATACATATTATGTACTTAGTTTCAGCTCAAGTTGCACTAAAGATAGTACTGGACATAATTCAAATATTTTGTCTATATAAATTAGTGGCTAATTTTACTTATCAAGCTTATCATGGAGCGGTTATTTCAAATGACAATTTCAATATCATGAATATTGATGAACGTTGGACTAGGACTTATTCAACTTTACATTATGAGAGCATTGAGTTACAATATAACAAGCAAAATATTGTTTTGATCACCTTGTGTTTTGTTGTAATAGTATTATCCTAAAAATTATATTTTAGCTACTTGTTATTTGCCTTAGCCTCAATCATTAATAATCATGAATTAAGTTTTTGTCACTGACGACTTTGTGCCTGTGAACAAATTTTGATAGTTATTTACTTTTGCAGGATATTACAAAATTACTGGAGGATATGGTCGCCCTGATATGCTCAGTATATTATTGACAATCTTAGGTCAGTGACAAGGTGAACAGCTATATTTCCCCGAAGGCCGACATGAGTTTTCTCAGTCATATCATATTTCGAGCCGTCTCGAATGGAAAATTCTCCTTCTTATCCATTAATATCGCTTCTATGTGAAAAAGTACACCTAAAAATTTAAAGGCCTCAGAAAGCATGGAAGGTTACACGTCCCTACTCGAAAACATTCTCTCTACCCTCTGAGGTTTTTCTCCCCAAAGCTGACAAAAATATACCTGAAAAGCTAAAAGCCGAATGGCAGTGGCATCTTTTTGAAGCAATTGGAGGTAATTATTCACTGTACTGAGCCAGGACTGAGTTTTTAGATATAGTCGAGAAGAAATTTAATGGTAGCAGTGGAAATAAAGTGGTGGATTCAGGTGAGATGTTTTAGTATGAGATATGGAAAGAGCAAAAGTATATTGATACTATCACTGTAATAAAAAGGAGAGAGGATGAAAAGATTTGTTAGTGGATCTTTTTCTACTTTCATTTAAATTAGGCATCCGCATTGCATCCGTTTTGTGAGCGTTTAAACGGCCACCCCGCGTTTAACATGGATGCGAGTCATCCATTAATTAGGGGGCCCATGTTGCCGTTTAATACATTGAACGCCACTTTTTGTTGCTTTTTATTTCTTTTCTTTGTTTTTTTGTTTTTAGTTAATTATTTTGGTTATTTTTTATATATTTAATTCAATTTTATATATAAATCCAAATTTTATCTATATTACACTTGTTAACATGTATCACTAGTTTACATTTTATATCTCCCATTTATTTTAGGCCTATAAAATACACCTCACACTTCAGTTTTATAATTTTCTTGTACCATTTTTTTTTTGTTTTTTCTGTTCTACTATTTTTCATTTTTAATTTTAATTTATGTTTTTTATAATATAATATTTAGTGTATTTTCATAATTTAACATTAAGTATTCTA